TTGCCTCAATCTGTAAACCTCATTCACTGATAAATGTTAGCATCAGCATTCCTCTCATATGGGCACTTGCATCCAAAACCAGCTCATTGGACGCCGATCCTATGCTCTGGTTTTCCATGATGCTGATGCCCACAGGGCCACCAGCCATGATCCTGGTTGCCTTGTGTGATGTAACGGGTGCTGCCGAGTCCATGAAAATGACGGTTGCAAAATTTCTCACCGTAAGCAACATCGCCACCATCAACCCAAAGAGAAGCCCCCATTTAACCAATCTCTAGATCAGCTATGCAGTTACGCCCATGATATGTTTCGCAGTTGTTGGCGCTTTAGAAGCTACCAAGGCCGCAATTAAGTCATAACCACTTAAGAGGAAGAAATGATAGCTATATATTCAACTCTAAATTGAATCACGTTCCCCCGTAACACTGCTACTAGTCTGCACAATATCATCCTCCTTTCTGAAGCCCATAAACGTTTTATTAATACTACGGTAAGATACTAATTCATCAATGGTTAGTGAGTCTACTCTCATTCTACTAGCCCATACTATCATGCCTAGACCAACTACCTACCAACGTGTATTGTATTTGCGGGACACGTACCGGAAGATCAAAATCAAGACTTCAACGGCAGCAAAAAGAACGATGCGATTCTAGCCAAGCTGACAACCACGAAGCATCTCTTTCACTAATGCCTAGCCTGACCTAGTGTTACCGCTATCCTTGCTCTGATCCTGGTGGGTGGCTGTGGCTATGTGTATGTTGAGCTCTTTATTAAGTTTGGCCCTCCGTTCGCGCAGACTTTCTCCCACGTCCCGCATAGCTCTGTCGATGTTTGCATCATACACAGTAAGCCGTAAGCAGAGTTGACTCAGATGATATGTGGTGTGCGTATCGTAGACGGAATTGACGGTCATATGGATTCCGGTAAGCTACTTCGGATAGTAGTGACGAGGTTTTAAATTTATCAACCACTTCCAGGCGAACGCACCCACAATCAGACAACTAACGCTAGAAAAACTCTTCCGCTTGCTAATATTGAATGTGCAAGGAATACTTTTGACTGTTTTGTAAAATTTGCGCTTTCTATGCACGTCTCTCAGGAGCGCTACCAAATACACGGCGCACAACCCTCAGATGAAAAAGCGTGTGTGCAGTAATTCATCCCGTTGTCGGTTCTTCTGCCAAGGCAGTACAGTTGACATGGGCCCGAAAATGCATTACAAAAATTGCCATTAAGTGGTTCGCAGAGCTCTAGAGTCTATATCAGTATCGATAATGTCGTCGCATGGAACAACTCGGGTAAAGAACCAGACTTACGTCCATATACGGCGTCGTGGGCGGGAAGAGGGTTTGCAATAGTGCATACGGTCCACGAGACAGTAAGAAGGGCGATGGTAGATAGCAACTGCATTGTGCGTCTTGACAGCTATTATCTCCGCGTTGTGTGGCAGCAGGCAATATGAAGGGTAGATTGCAGCTTGTTGAGCTTGAAAGGACGTGTAGACAGCCTTCTATGCAAGAGCAGTTAAGCTTAGATAATGTAACTCTATTAACAAGAGCAATGAAATGGCTGTTAAGCTTAAACAGAGCTCCATCATAGCTTTTATACACACGTCCGGAGATATCATCTGCCGAAACTTTCTTGCGTCCCTTGTAAGTCTCGTCCCGCTCGAACTCAGCTTTTATATATACGTTCGGAGACGTAATCTGCCAAAAATCTCCTTCATTCCGTGTCAGTATCGGCCTGCTCGATTTCTACTATCACTGAAGCTCCTTCGCATTTCACGTCCGTAATTTAAGCCAAAAGAGCTTCCTATCTAGTAGAGCGTGACTACAATATCATCCTATTTATATAATTATAGTATTGCGCTTCGAGAGTCAGATCCAGCTCTCGACATGGAGCTCGATTTCCTTAATAGCTAACAATCACACTGTTTCTGAATATAATTCTTACTCCATCGTATAAAGAAGGTCTCTTGATTTGAAACTTCGCATTTTCTTAATTTCATATGAAACATCTATGCCGTTGGACATCATCAAATCGTATTGAAGGCTCTAGGTCTAATGTTTTCTTATTCTAGCAAGTTCATCAGTGCAGTCACAGATTATTTGCCACTCCTTTCAATCACACCCTTCCACCTGGTCCTCCCCTTTTCATCAGTGTCCACCTTTTCAGCCTTGTTCCCGTTGAACGACACACTTCTCGTATCTCCTCGGGGCAGGATAATGTCCAATGCCGACCATGCTGGCTCGAACCCTTGCTGCAACTTCTCCTCATAGCTGACCGAGACGTCGCTTTCCGACGCCTCATAGTTGACGACAAATACTGAAATCTTCGCGGGCGGCGGTGAAACACCGTCGTCTTCGTACCAAGTCGTTGTGTAGACTTTGCCGTTTGATGAAGCCTTTGGCGGGAACACCTCGACAGCACGGTAATCGTCGCGAGCAAGGTTCGCAGGGTTACTCTTCTCCCCTACCGAGAGCACCTGCTCTGCCCTCCCGACAGGAATCGCCGATCCAACCTTTGCCAGTACAGGGATGCTTTCGGTCCACTTTGCTCGGATATCAACCCACTGTCCGGCCTTGTAGTATGTCTGGGGCTCATTGTTGAGATCGAGGAACTCAGCACTGGAGTCCGAAGCGTCTTTGGGAAGATACATCTTGGCGCTCTCGGCATTGGCTTCGAAAACGCCGCCTACCAGCAGTGCATCACCAAGCCAATACTGTGTCTCGCCGTCTGTTAAGACCTTGTTGTTCCAGATCTCGGGATCCGACTCGTACCCCCAGCCAGTCCATCGCTGTGGAGGCGTTGCCGTCATGTGTGAATGCAGGGCAAGTGAGTATAGGTATGGAATCATTTCGTAGCGACGTTTGATGGTGTCTCTGACCAATGCCGTCGTCTCGGGGTACATCCAAGGCTCAATTACATCACCTACGCTGTTGTCGTTGCCAGTCTTGAAACAGTTGATTGCGAAGCGAGGACTGTAGATGCCTTGTTGGCACCATCGAACGAGCAGTTCGGGCGATGGTTGAGGGCCTTCAAAACCACCAATGTCATGGCCGTAACATTGCATCAGACAGATGCCGGCAGTCAGGGAAAGAGCATTGGCACCCTTCATGCCGGGCCAGGAGGTCACGTTGTCGCCGCTCCAGGCACTGGCGCAGTATCGCAATGTCCCGGCTGTGGCACTACGGGTCAAGATAAAAGGACGCTGTTCCGGTTCAACCTCCAGCGAAGCATCGTGAGAGGATTTGCCCATGAGCTCGGTATTCAGTGCTCGTCCCCAGAACCCGATCTCTTGGCCATACTTGTCGTTCTTCGGCTCTTGGCTAACCGAAGGCTCGCTCAGTTCGCATTGCCACCCGTCGTGAGGGATGGTGTACTCGTTGTTATCATTCCAGATGCAATCAATCCCTATTCGCTTCAGTTCGCGAATGCCTTCATACCACCATTGGTAACCAGCTTTTGATGTAAAATCAATATGGCCACCAATACCGCTTTCGCCACCTCCAGCGCTCCAAAGACGAGCTTCAGCCGGCGCCGTTGTCAGTGAGTCGGTGAAGAAGGCATTGGCCTCCTTGAGCTTTTGATACTCAGGGTGGCTTCCCAGCACATACGGCTTGACGTTTGCGATGAGTCGAATTCCTTCTTTGTGGTATGCATCAATCCAGCCTTTGGGATCTGGAAAGCGATGCCTATTCCACGTGAAGACATTTCGTGTCTTGGGCTCGGTCTCTGCAATCGTGTATCCAGAAGACATCTGCATACCCGAGCATGGAATGTCATGCTCTTTCAGCTTTCTCGCAAACTCCATCATGCTTTGGCTCGCAGGAGGGTCGTCCGTCATGGAGTATTTCATTCCGCCAGCCAGATAGCCAAATGCCCATCGCGGCACCAGAAGAGGGTATCCAACAAGATCCGCGTAGATGCGAACAATGTCTGGTAGTGTCTTGCCTACAAGTAGATACTCTTCAAGGCCCCCGTAGTCCTGGCGGTAGACTTTGAAACGACCCCACATACCATCCATTTCCGAGCCCACCGAGTAAAACCCACGTGCATGTGATGTGGAGAAGATGCCGACACATCCTTCTGGCGTAGCATTGATCAGAAGTGGAATGTGCTTGTACAGCGGATCCGTCCGGTACACATCGTAACCGAAAGAGTCGGTTGCTGATAGCACAAAGTGGCGGTTTGAAAGATCCATGGGTGCTGGCTTCTCGCCAAGTCCAAGATGGAGTGTGCCATGATTGTACTTGGTGTAATGAGAAATGCCAGGTCCATCGGCAGCATACGATCGATTGGGAAGGTCGGCATGGATTGGTTTCTGTTGACCAGAAAGAGTCAGGGAGACAAGCGGAAGTCCGCTTTCCCAGTCAACTTGAGCCGTGACACCATCGACTTGAAAGCTCTTTGCAGCCGCACCAGATGACAAGACTGTGGCGTTGGAGTTGTCCACAGTCTTGTTGGGTACTGGGGCTGCTCGATGGGGTGGCAGCAAATGTTTCGGCGAGGTAAATGTTGTGCGAAACAGTCCCGGCCGTATTGCATCGAAAGTGAATTTGAAGTCTCCTACATTTGACTGTAATTCGACGCTCGCATTTGATGTTGCCATGGCAGCGCCGGCTTGATAGCCGGCAGGAACGTGCTCAAGCATGGGCATGACGAAACAAAAGGGGGCATCAACCAGCGGTATGCTGTTTTCGACTACTGGCTATACAGTGACTCGGAATTTATAGCAAGGGTTGAGGTCGGCATTTGACCGAAAGCCCCATTTCTAGTCGCCGAGAGGAATGGAGTAGGTCTGTCACAAGGCCTGTTAGGCCGGCATCTTCGGCCGACATGTGCGCTCCACTAGTCTGGAATCAGACAAGATTCCCATATGGGGTCCCCGTGGGGAAAAATGATATAAGTGCTGTTGCGCAGATCGACAGCAAAAACAGCCCACAGTAATTCAGGGCGCTATCTTGTTTGCTCTCATCATGTCTCCCAAGCCCGACATGGCCGCGACTACTCCATCGGCGGCGGCAGACGCCGGTGTCAAATCCAATGTCGAAACTACAGAATCTATTCACAAGCCCACGAACGAGAAGAGCCGCAAAGGAAAAGACAAGGCCGCTGAGCTGCTCGCCTCGAACGAACGTATTGTGGTGACGTCGGAGGAAAACAAGCGTGTGCTGAAGAAGATTGATCTCATCATTCTGCCCATTCTGCTCAGCGTTTATTTCCTCCAGTCCCTCGACAAGACTACGCTCTCATACGCATCCGTCTTTGGACTCATCGAAGATGCAAATCTCGATCCAAAGTCGCAGCAGTATTCCTGGCTGGGAAGTATCGTTTACATTGCCCAATTGGTGGCACAGCCGCTCGTCGCCTTCTTGCTCGTCAAGATGAGAATGGGAAAATTCATTGGCGCCATGGTCTTCACATGGGGATGCATCCTTTGCGGTATGGCAGGTGCAAAGAATTTTGAGGGACTCATGGCGACACGGTTTCTTTTGGGCGCTTTTGAAGCTGCAGTCGGTAAGCTTCCACTCCATATATACCAAAACGCGTCGTCCTTTTCATCTTCATTTACTAACATCACTCCCAGCTCCCGCATTTATCGCTGTAGTCCAAATGTGGTACAAGCGCGGCGAACAAACTAACCGAAATGCGGCCTGGTATGCCATGCTGGGCATTGTCAACATTCTTGGCAGTCTGCTATGCTATGGTCTCGGACACATCAACTCGAATCTTCTACACTCATACCAGATCATCTTCCTGTTTTGTGGACTCCTCACCGTTGTGGTGTCGATGTTCGTTTGGTTCTTCATGCCCGACTCTCCCATGGAGGCAAAATTCTTGACCGAGCACGAAAGGCTCATCGCGGTTGAGCGTCTGCGTATGAACCAGATGGGCGTTGCATCTCGAGTTTGGAAGTGGGACCATGTGTTCGAGGCATTCCTGGACATCAAGACATGGCTCTGGTTCTCCATGTTGACCGCCATCAGTATTCCGAGTGGCGGCATCTCCGCCTTTGGTCCATTGATTATTCAAGGTTTCGGGTTCGGGAAGTTTGAGACCATCTTGTTCAACATGCCCTTTGGCGTTGTGCAAATCGTCGCGACGGTTGGCGGTGCTTGGCTGGCAACATGGCTCAAGAAGAAGTCGCCTGTCCTCATCCTGCTATGTATTCCACCCATTGTCGGCATCGTCATCCTCATGGTCGTTGGACGCGGTCCTTCAAACCGCGGCCTTTTGCTCTTTGGGTACTATATGACATCATTTTATCCGGGTATCTCGCCACTCATCTATTCCTGGTCAGGCCAAAACACCGGTGGAGACACCAAGCGCAAAGTCACTACCAGCATACTATTTATTGGTGCCAGTGCAGGAAACATCGTTGGGCCTCAGATCTTCAAGCCGTCTGAAAAGCCGTACTACAAGCGCGGTCTGCGCGTGTGTCTTGCCCTCTTCATCCTCATCATTGTTTTGATCTTGGTAGCAATGCTATGGATCAAATTGTTGAATCGCAAGCATGCCGCAACACGAGAGAGTATGGGCAAGGCGGCTGTTGTTGTCGACACAAGCATGGGAAACGCTGTTGAAGGGAGCGCCGAAGAAGCCGAGCACGAGGCAAGCGGGGTGGGCGACAAGGCCTTTGACGATGTGACTGACCTCAAGAACGAGGATTTCATTTACATCTACTAAGACGAGTAGTTGCACATGATTTTCTATAGATATTTCTACCATGATTAAAAAGAGATAAATTTACCAATACATTTTCTAATGATCGTTCTTTGGTCTATAGTCAGATACCAGCTGGAGTGTCAAATCAGAAGAGACTGTCAATGTTGACGAAAAGATCCTGCCACCCTAAAGGCATGTGTTTAAGATTGAGCCCGGGAAAGTCCCACTCGAATACGAATTCTCGGGGCACGTAGCCCTGAAACTCTGTTTCAGCAGCACCACCATCTGTCCCAGACGCAGGTGACGACTGTGTAGCATGATTCTGTTCAACAGAGTACTCTCGCAATGCAGCCTCGCATTTCTCAATACTTGTTTGAAGTATTTGGAAGTATGCAATATGGCCTACCGTCACAGTCTTGAGCTCTTCAAGTACCCTATGAGCGTCGCGGAGAAGTGCCATGACGGACGCGGCAGGATCGCGGAGGAGAATGGCCAATTTGAGTACGAGCAAAACGGAGACTGCGCACTTTGCCCATACGTAATCCAGAGCCCACCGGAATGTGCTGAGATAGGTCGAGCCAATTGTGTGTGTTGAGGACGCTGGCGAAGAATCTGGCGTCGATGTATAGGATTGCAGCATGTAATGTAGATGTCGACTTGCTGCGTCTTTAGCTCTGCGTATAAAGTTTTTCTGGAAGTCGGTCATGAATGCAATATTTTCCACGCCAGATGATGCCACAGCCTTTAAGTACAGTGTCATCATGGCCCATTCACGCTGGATGTGGAGGTTTTGTAACGCCATTGCTCGTCGATGTGGCACGGGTTCTGCCAAGATGATGTTTGTCCATTCATCCAGCCAGAGCGTCAACTCTACACAAGCTTCGTCTACTGTACTCCGGACTTTGTTTTCGTTTTCTTGGAGAAGAAATTCATCCGTGTCCCGTCGCATGATCTTGGTATATGCTTCTGCACGAATCAGGTTGAGTTCTATTTGAGAGAGTAGCCGAATGTCGACTGATGTATGTTCAGGGTGTTGGAGAAGGCTTCGGATTTTCCTAGGGGAGGTATGGAAATTCAAGCCCGGTAACTTTCCTCCGTCTAGCGAGAAACTGTGGTGCGTCAGACAGTCAACGTTAGATATGACCGGAATAGGGCTTACAAGAGTTCGAGATTGCAAATGCCATGCCAGACGCGTGAAAGACGGTACAGTTCTTGCTCATCATTGCTGACGACTCCAGAACGTATTTGGCCTTTTGCAATCAGTTGATCAACGACCCGAGGCAGGTCAAGCTGTATGGCAAAGCGAAGGGCCGTTGCAATCAAGAAAAAACCATTTTCAGAGTAGGCAGCTACCAGGGCAATGGCCTGGATGTCCTCTATACTGGGTATACTCTTGTTGATGAGCAAGTTTGTAATGTGATCGCGAACCCTGGATTGGAGCTGGCGGTAGATGGTTGCATTAAAACCTTCCTCAGCACGACAACCGATGCTGACTATGGCATCGAAGAGGACGGCACTCCGTGAGGATACAGAAGTGATGGTGTCATATCTCTCGCAGAATATTGGGACAAGATATTGCTATGCTGCTTAGTGTCATGTGGTTGCGAATAGAGCCATGGCTTACACTGCCGGAGAAAAAGCTCGACGAGGGTCAGCATTATGAGTGGGGGGAGCAAAGGATTGAGGGGTCTGCCTACCTCTGGTACCAGTGAGCAGCTTGATCCCAAGTGATGAAGCCAGCATCAACGGCACTGCCAATTGCGTTGTGCCCGGCCGGGGAACGAGGTGTGACTTCTGCAACAGTCACGCTTGCGTTATCCATGTGTGACTGCATTGGGAAGCGAGTTAGCGACATGTCTTTATCCCTCCAGCCACGTGGGGTTTGGAATGTCTTGCAGTCATGCCGGCACCTGTCTGGTGGGCCGGGACTTGTTCGAGAAGCATCATCACTAATGCATGTAAGAGCCGTCACTCACGCTGGTCCTTGGACCGGGTGTCTCCCTGGTGCCGAGCAGCTCGCGCAGTGCAGCCATGTCGGCTTCCAACTTCTCGATACGGAGTACATTCTCGTCCTTGACTGCGTCAAAGTACTGGCAGGAAGCACTATTCCTTTCGCAACGTTGACAGGGGCGGTTTCCGTCGCATCGCACCTTGGACGTCCGGCAATTGACACAGGCATTGATAGCACGACGTTTGCGCGGTCGTGGTGAGGCGTGTGCATCCATCGGGAATCTCGCGCGAGAGGAGAAACCATGGTGGACTGACCCGGTTCTTAAAGTCGGGGTAAACCGGGGGTGGACCGAGTGGAGAAGTGGGGACGAAAGGGTGCACGAGTCGTGTGTTTTGGTGGCGGATGGCGACTATCGGATCTGGTCCTCGTTAGGCCCATCCTTCGCGCAAAGCTAGACACGCCGCACAGTCAATGTGATGGAGCAAATTTGCTTCTCTTCTTATTGTGCACATACTGCCTCACTCCCACTCATGTCCCCTTACACTGCTGTAGTCATCTCCGTACACTACTGTCCAACACTTAACGGAGTGTCGACAGTAAGCAGCCTGAATCTGGGCGACCTTATCCGATGACAACGCCAACTGTAAACCGCGGTGACATGCAGTCTGCTGGTCGTTGTATTTCTTACGGCCGACCACCAAATGGGAACCTTCCACACACCACTTGTTTCCACAAAGGTGCATAACAGTAAGGGGTTCCGTGGTGGAAGGTTGGTGGGTCTTGTCTTTGGCGACCGACCGCAAGAGATCCTCAGTGAGGCCAGATTCCGGCTGGGTGTAAGCTCGATGTGCCGCAGCGATATGATAGGCGTAGACTTTGGTCTTCGTACTGCTGCGAGCAACATTGAGCCCCTCCAATCCTGTGACCCGTGGCGCATCGTTGTTTTCGCCACCTTCCCGTAGCACCACTGATTCGGTGACTACGCCTTACTTCCTCGTCCTGCGAAAAAGAGCTGAACAATGGCCGAATAGTAACTATTAGCCCGAGAAAGCAAGGTTCCCATCCGTAAGTCTACGGACGACTGGGGGGAGGTTAGCATTGGTGATAACGCCAACGGGTGCTCCTGGTTGTATCAATCCCCAAAACGTCGCAACGGCGGCTCTGGGAGCAGATAAGACCAGGAGTTGATTGTCGGATTGAAGGACGGAGGTTACCGGCGGATTAGGCCGGCGTGACTGGAGTGGCAGGGCGGGGGCCTGCTCATGCGACGAACACGCTATTAAAACCACACCATCAGTACACATATGATATAGTAGAGGTGGAGTAACCTCATGCAAGAGGTTAACCCTTACACATTTTGCGTTTCTTAGAGGACATCTTACAGAAAAAGAAGATAGGTAGAAAAAGAGAAAAGAGTTAATTATACACCTCTGATTCCAGTAGCTCTTACTGTTCATTCTCGAGTAAACAAACCATCCAACTGTTATTTCCCGCTTAGTCTTGAAGACTAGAAAGATCAATAAACTACTTATTTCCTTATCTCTTGGATCGCCGTCTACCCGATCACATAGAGCTCTTATGTTCGCGCCAAATCTCGACTCTTCTACGCTGCTTTGCTCCACCTGCTTTTCTGTCGGTGTCCGTCACGCCACTTGCTCAGTTGTCGCTTACACCGCGCTGCTGGAAGCATATCCAAGTACTACCCGGGGGTACTGTGCTGCAACCATCTTGGTCAAGTTGGAGCCCGTCACATATTGGCCATGGCAGTGTTTGAACGAAACAAGGGCTCGTAAAATCTGGCGTTTCTGCTGTCTTTATTGAAGCTTTCACGTCCCACTTCAGTTGGGGGCCACGTACTCATTAATGGTAGGCGCATTTTCCAGGTCAGTATTCGCTCCAAACTGTGCTACGGCCGAGCTATAGCTGGCCTGGACTGCCTCAGTGGCATAGACACGCATCTCCTTTTCGTAGGCTACTGTCACGCCCTCCCAATTATCGCCGTCGCCACGCTCCCACACCTCTGCCATCAATCGACCCAGCAAAGCCGAGTCGCGCATCGCCGTATTCGCGCCGTTACCACCTGCTGGCGTCATCGCATGCACAGCGTCGCCAATGACAGTCACTCGAGGCTCGTTAGGCCATGCAGGCACGCCGTCTGGCGAAGAACAAGTGATTTTCCAAAAGGAAGCCTCGGCCTCGTTCATATTGTCAATGAGCGGCTTCAGGCGCGCGTGCCAGTGCGAGGTAAGCGACTTTGCGATTGTTGCCGCTGGTGGGCCAGTGATGGTGTAGTTGTCGTTGGGTGCATCAACGACGCCTGGTGAGCCGCCCATGGTCCAGCCAAACTCGATGTCTGGATTGTCCATATCGCCAGCACGGATGTTGGTGATTAGGAAGACCTTGCCACCATTCGGTTGTGAATCACTGTCATTGACGACAAAGACGCCCTCGCCCAGGCCTTTGAAAGCGGCCGTGGGTGCCTGACCGTGTATTCCTCGCGAGCCCAAGTCGTAGACCTTGATGGTGCCATTCGATAGTTGGCCTGCGACTGCACTCTTGACGCCCTCACCACCCACCAACATGGAGCCCTCTTCACTCTTGCTTCCGTCTGCAAAAACAAGGCGCACCCCGCCGTCCGTCTTCTCATAGCCTACAATCCGATGGCTCCATCGTACATTGTGTTCGAGGCCCTCTAGAAAGAGCGTACGCATATCGCCTCGCGAGATGCCCACAATCTTGCCATCTCTGCTAGTCAACGGCCCGTTGCTGCTGACAGGTGGCTGTCCTCCTGTCCCTGTCTCGCCCGTCAATGGGTCGATGACGGCAAATCCCGCGCCGCCAGTCTTGCCGCACTTGTCGTAGAATTTCTGAAATCCCTCGGGGCCGAGGACATTTTCTATTGCGTCGAGTCCTTGGCTGGATAGGCGCAGGCGATAACCCTGTGCTCGAAAAACAATGGACGCGTCGCGCTCAAAGACGAGAAATGGAATCTTGAAACGGTGCAGCGAGCGGGCAAGGAGAAGCGAGGCAAGGCCAGCGCCAGCAATGAGGACTGGTTTTGGGGAGCTCATGGTGGGATATGTGGTCGTGTGCGAAGTGCTGCTGTTCTCCGGAGCAGCGACATGACTGCTGATATACCAGGCGTGTTGGGTGTTGTAAGAAATGCCATATATGGCGTTGGGTACATTATTTGGCAAGTGGGGGTCAGTTCGGGAGTCCGGAACCCCAACATGCGTCGCTTGCTAAGCCGATGACTATCATTGTACACGGTGATGTATAAGCAGCCTTACATGATGCAGGGCCTGATGACGCAACAAGCAACCCTTGATACCGAGCCAAGCATCAGAGTTATTCGTCTACGCAATGCGGGTATGTTGTAGCTAGACGACGGGCCGCGGAAATTGCGGAAATATGGCCGCCGTCCTTGGCTAGACGCAGTAGTAATTTCTTGCATCGTGTTTTCGGACGAGGAATGAGAATGATATGCTGAGTATTGGATGATACATTTCAAATACTACGTGAAGAAGTATCTTTACATTCCTTCTGTAACCCACAATGTGTTCGTACAGAACGTATCAGATTTTGGATCACTCAGACAATATGCCATTGCAACTTGTATTTTCCTTGATCAGAAACCAACTCAGGATGAACTTTTGCCATTGTCAAGATTCGACAAAGAATATTACTTTAGTCTTTTGCATCGGACAAAGGCTCGCAGATAGGTGTGATTGTTTGACAGCTTACTTACACACATGGTGTGAATTGCCATTCGCTCTCGCAATATGGTTAAGAGCTTGAGATACCTGTACAATCTTACTCTTTTGATACTGTTTTGAGAGAATACATTTACGGTCAAAGGCTACAATACATAGACTGTTACGCCAGACTCTCTGATCCACACTTCAAAAACACGTGTTTACATAGTTTGTTTACAACCCCTACCATGTGTACGACAAAGTCGTCTGCAATACCACTGAGCTACCGAGACACTACCTTGGTGACATTTTCAGATGATTGGTATCCATCAATTTCACGACAGATGATGAAGTGGAGCTACACGTATGCTATTTTGCAGATGTACTACTATTCTAAGTCGGACTCTGGCGACATGTCGATTCCATTGGTCCCAAGGTTAGTCTCGGCAGTGTCCATGTCAGTTTACGCGTAGGTATGGGTGCACGATGGGCCTATGGATGGAGTAGTATGCATGAATGTATATTTTGCAGTTGTCGAGATACGGGATCAAGGGGTTCTCGTACTGAAATGTCATGTGAAATTGGAGTGTTGTGGCTAGGTAGGTCAGTGCTTCTATGGTGCTGTAACACGTCTCTAAGCATTCGCATGTTACTTTAACGCTATTCATCTTCTCCTAGGAAGTGAAATTGTTTCTAGGAAAGAAAAGGAAGACGGATAGGAGCATGTCAGATGTGATCGATTGTTGCTTGGCAAAACATGTTGTTGATACTTCCATGCCAGCAAATTACCGCACAGATGCAGTGCTAATCCGAAACCGGCACCGTATTGCGAGAACCTGTTTTGAGGGCTGTGAGTAACCTGAATGTGGATGGATGTTATTGATACAAGGCCATTATCGTTATTTCTGCAGGTCTAGTCCAGCCGGACGTTAGCTCATTTCGTGTAGCGTGATGATACATACGTATCCTGCAGGCTTCACCTCAAGCATGTGATTTCAGAACTAGATCTGAGATAGGCGAGATACGGCGGGGCTATTGTTAGCAGCGACGTCGGTTTAGTTGCTGCATATGAGGCGTCGGTAGCCCAGGCGACGGCAATGCATCCAAGACGGTCCAGGGATTTGTCAAACGTAGTTTGCATGTCACAGCCGTAATAACTCACAACGTGTGACAGGGAGGTTGAGGTTTGGTCGATAACAACGCTAGCGAGCTGTCGGCGGGCTGATTGAAGCGAACAAGGTCGGTTAGGTAATTACTTGGGTGGCAGCAGGGATGATACCGGGATGTAAATGTTTGTGAAACATACATGTACACAAACAATCAGTCTTGTTTACGCAGCTCCCGGGCATGTAAGCTGTAGTTTGGGCAACGGGTACTGTCGTGTTGTCATTATCATCCAGATTGGATCCACCGAGGCGCCTACCGCTGTTTGTTTGGATCTGGTCGGTTCAATATGCGACGACCCAGGCTACGGCCAGGCCAATGCCGTGACCGGTAGCGAGTTCAGCTGCAATCCGTGAAACACTGGTAGACATGCAGAAGCGTTGATATCTCCCTAGACATGGCATTGCTTACGGTTCCAGTCTGAGAGATCAGACAGTCTGCAGGGGTGAATAAATCGACTGACATACCTGGAGATGGATCGATACATGTGGAGTTTATAGTGTGGTGCTTTCTTCTTGGCAACAAGAAGCACAGATACAGCTTTCGAAGTAGATGGGAAGGATGCAACCCTGAAGAGTAAGTACATGGGATTTGGTCATCTGTCATTGTCATTCATGTCTATTTTGATCGTAAAATGGCGTCAGTGGGATAATGCTACAGCAAAGCCTCGAATCGTGACGAGGCCAGCCACAAGTCTACTCGGGTATGTCTAACTATATATACAAAACTTTTGGTCTTCTCCATAATCGTACACAAAGGGGTTGCCGCTCAAATAAGCGCTTCGCCCCTGAACATGGCCTCTCGGACTTCTCGTACAACATCTGCACGGTCGCCTGGCCCGAGCAGTACAATACCTCTTCCACGTCTGCCCATTCGGCCTGTGCGGCCAAGGCGGTGGATAAAATCAATGGTGGTGTGGGGAACATCAAAGAGGATGACGTGTCGAACAGACACGGTGTCAATACCTCGTGAGCCAAGATCAGTTGTGACAATGACCTTGGTGTTGGGAAGAGTGCGTTTGTTCGCCAGCGTCGAGTTGATGGGTGCTTCATCTTGAGTCGCTGGCGAAGTGCCGAGTGAAGAATCGCTAGTAAAAGATTTGAGAATCTTTGCTTGGCGCGAAGGGTCTGTGTCACGGTGGAAGGCCAGGGCATCAACGCCCTTTTTGACAAGGTACTGTGCCACCTCTTCAGTATCCTCACGCTCGTTGACAAAAACCAAGATGCGTTTTGTTGGTATTGCTTCCTTGCCCTCGGTGGGATCATAGTCAGCAGATGCTTTGCCGATTTGCCATATCGTGTCTGCACAAGCGAGTAGCTTGTTACCGCGGTAGGGATCCTTGTTTACGTCCACGACGCCCAACTGCACCCTGCGAGGAATGGCGTGCAAGTTTGGGGTGACGAGGCGGTGCATGTCTGGAAACCTCTGTGCAAGGTATTTGTCGAGGTACTTGGGAATGGTGGCCGAGCATAGAACAAGCTTCTTGAGAGATGGAGTGGCCCGCTCGAGGATTTCGGTAGTAGTCTCCTTGAAAGAGCGGTCGAAAAGGGAGTCTGCTTCGTCGCAGATGAGATGGGTAACACGGGCAAGGATGTTGGGGTTGCTTTGGGCAATGCTGGCGAGGAGCGGCGGGGTGCTGATGACAACATCGACGCCGTTGGGGTTGAAGAGCTGGTTGCGGATGACAGTAGCAGATAACTTGGCAGATATGGGCGCGGCACGGAACTTGATAGTGTGCGAGAGCGACTTCGCGACGGCGCCGACCTGTGCAACCAGTTCGGCGGAGGGAACGAGGATGATGGCCCGTGGGCGGGCTGGGTCAACGGCCTTGTTGATCTCTGGCTCCTCGGCAGCGAACATGTCGGTTCGCTTATCGTGCTCTTTGGCAGTCGCAGCAGCCTCTTGAGCCGCCTTGGTTGCCTGTTGCTCGGCCTCGTCCTTTTCGCGCATCTCTTCCTGCTTGATGGCGTCCAGGGTAGGGAGAAGGTATGCCAGTGTCTTTCCAGACCCCGTCTCGGCTGCGAGCAAGAAGGTGTCGGGGCCTGTCTTCTTCGTCTTTACTTTGGCGCGCACAGCCTTCTGCATGCCGAGCAGGGCGGGTATGGCGACAGCCTGTGCCGGTGTGGGATTGCGGTACTCGAGGCCGGGCAGCGCATCGTTGACGGCGCGCAGGACAGGCTCGGTGAGGGGGAACTTGTCGAAGGAGTCGTACTGGTCCATGTTGCGCTTGATGGCGGTGCGGTCGCTGTAGGGCACCCGGTGCAGCGAGCTCTGCATCTTGAGGGCGTGGAAGGGCTCTGTCCTTGGCCTGGCCCTGCCCTGGCTGCGTCCTGTGGGCGGCGACGGACGCCCACGTGCCTCTCTCTGGTCGCGCATCCGTTGCAGGCCCGGCGGCGCTTGTGTGCGGTTCAGGTAGGAGAAGGCATCGGCCGTCTTCTTGGGCTTGATGTCTGATGTGCGGGCGACATGTTCCGACAGCACCATGCGCGAAGGTCTCGGGGCCCTGGACGGCGACAGCGACGACGACTGGCGGCGGTCGTGGTAGGCGGCATATAGGCGTGGGTGGTGCGGCAGTGATAATGACTGGCGGCGCAATGGCGAAAGGTCCAGCAGCGTCCGTGGGCCGCAGAGCGGACACGGAGCGGACAGCCGTGGCAGCATCGTCCGTTGGTTTGGGCGGTTTATTTTTTTTGGGGGGGGGGGGAGAGGGCAATTTTTTTCCCAAACGGGCAGACGAGGTGACGTCGGGCGGCGGCACGGGCGATGTCGCGATACAAGTGGGCGCTAGGCGCAGAGGGCTGCCATTGCTGCCAGCGTGCCATGGACTGGCGGGTGGGCTCCAGCCACATGCGGCTCGTTACCTCAGCAACACCACCCAACACCCGTCTACCCCGGCTATCAACACCTTAGATAGCGCCCACGGCCCCAATCCAATTCACACCGCACGCATCCACACACACACTCGTCCTCGATAGCCTCTTCATTGCACAATAGCCTCCGCGCTCCGTGTGTGCCTGTGTGCGTGTGTGTCCTTCACTTGCTTTGCTTCAGGCTTCATCAGCGCACACGCTGCCCTGCACTCACTGCCTACACTACACTAGGCCTGCCAGTGCGCGCCCAACTCCTCGACGGAGATTGCCCAGTGACGGCATCCATCCCGCCGCCCTAGACAAACAACAAAGGAGGATTTCTTTGTTTGCACTCTCGCCTAGCACATTGCGACAGACATGTCGCGCAACGAAGCGGTAAGCACTCCATTCCCCCTCCACCACGACGCTCCTGTCGGTCGCGTGACGGCCATGGCGACTGCGACTGCGATGCTGACAGCAATGGCACCCAGGTGTCGCCGCTGCGCATCACCAAGACGCCCTCCACTTCGTCCCCCAAGGGCAGTGGCCGGCCGCTGTCGGAGATCAGCCCCCATGAGCACCGCAGGAACTCGCCCAGCTGGAACCAGTCAACAAAGGTTCGTGCACATGGCCGCTCCATCAGCACCAAAAGCAACTGACACGCCCCCTTCCAGAAGATGCTCATCTCCAAGGAGAGCTCGCCCTACCGCGACTCGTCGCCCTTTACTCACAGCCCCCGTCTTTTCTGGAAGGAGCAGACAACGTCGCCCAAGAGCCGTTTCGACACGTCAGAGAACGACTGCGAGGCCAGCACACCGCTCTCCCCCAAGCGCAACTCGATTGAGAACCTGAAGAAGCAGTCACGTGTCAAGAACAGCAGCATGTTCGCCCGCGAGCAAAAGAACGAATACGACCCCACCCTCGTCCAGCCACTCGACCGCCCCCTCGCCGCCGGTCGCCCGCTAAACACCGTCGTACAGGGCAACGCATATGGCGGTCATGGTATGCAGGGCATGCGCGATGAGAACAACAACAGCAGCAGCAATGTCCCGACCAGGATTCCCATCCTCAGTCCCTCCAAGACTTCCCCCGCCAAGCTACCCACACAGTCGTCCTTCTCTTCACCCTCAAAGTCGTCGCCCTCAGAAGGTCGCGTGTCCCCCACAAAGTCGTCGCTTGTCAGCAACGGCCGCTTCAACTCACCACAGTATAACCCCGACTCCAGCGCCGTCTTCTCCGACGAAGAAGACATGGTGCAACAGACGCCCCGCCCCCTGCGTCGCCATGCTAAGAGTGTGACCTTCGACACTAGGCCTCCCCAGATCACAGAATTTGAGATGGTCACACCTGATCCGTCCGTGACGACAGCATCGCGAGACGGCAGCTACGATTCCGAAGAAGACGAGACAGAGGAAGAGCTGAGCTTTGACCAGGACGACAGCTTCGATGCTTCCCTCGAGGACACCGAGAAGACACCCGTAGTCCTTCCTGAGGATTGGCGCCACATGAGCCCAGATGCTGCAAACACTTCACTAACTGACACCTACGACGATGTTTTCGATGGTCGCGACAACAGCCCCATGCCCTCTGCAAACCCCAATGGTCAAAGGAACCAAGCCCGCCTGGGCTCAACCGCCTCTGATAGCGACGCCAGACCACTTCCTCCTCTTCCCGGCTTCCCAGCCCAAGAGGGCAGTCGGCGGCGTGACTCGAGCATTGGTTTGTCTAATGCTGCTGAGCGAATTAACGACAGGCGGCGGTCTCTACCTCAGCTTCCCCAAGCCGCTGGTATCTCCAAGAACGATCTCCTCAATATGCGCGAAGTTTCCATGTCGCTTGAAGACCGATTGCGTTTGATGAACTTTGACAACGACCGCGATACAAGCACCCCAACACAGGAGATGCAGAACAGGAAGAACATTCATATTGACGATGAGGTCACCGACGCTGACGTTGAACGTTCCGAGACGGCCGCTGATGAGCCGAGATCTGCGCCCCGCATCTCCCGCGATTCCATCCTCCGTCGTGTCAAGAGCCGCAACTTTGAGGATGGTGAAGACGACGATTCCGAAGTTGAATATAACAACTTCGACCATGACGACAGCCCTGAGCGCAGCTATGGAGACCTCGCTGATCTTGATCCCGATGTCCCCATCCCCTCGCGTGAAGTCTCTTCCAACTTTGACGAACACCCACGACAAGTCTCTGGTGTTTCTCAGAGTGAGGCAGACAGCGTGGTGGATGCATATAGTTATGGCGATGTGCCACACGGTGAACACGATGACGAAACAGACGTTGACGGTAGCTCCATGTCCCAACTTGAAGACTATGAGCGCGACTCATCCGTCATCCACCACCCGATGCCACCAGCATCCGACGACGAGGATGAGAATAGTCAATATTCTCTCGAGCCTGAGGAGCAGCCCACATCCCAGAGCACCATCGACTCTTCCGGCCCATCAACACCAACTGTTGCTCCCTCCTCACCAGTCGTCGAGGACAAGCAG